AAAAAAAAAAAAAAAAAAAAAGACTCTGTAAATTTGACTTAACAAAACTCGAGCTTTTTAGACAACGAGTTGAGTTCGACTCGACTCGACTTAACTTGTGAAGGCTCGTTTCACTTGATAAAGAATTGTTTTTTACATAATTTTTGTACTTTTAAAAATTGAGCTTGTAAAATCGACTTGTTAACCTAACTAGCTTGACTCGTGTCAAATAAAATATAATTTACAAACATATATAACTATGATATATTTTTCAGAAGGGTTAATTAAATTTCATTTTATTTTATGGGGAAACTATTTAGAATTAATTTGGAGATTAATTGAATTTGAGAATTCCGGTGCTGCCCTGCTAGTTGAGGTGGGTTGAGCCCAACCAACAAAGTTTGATTACTATAATAACAAAGTCAAAAAGCAAAAGACTAATTGGGAACTTTACCTCTCAGCAATAATTTTTGAAATAATAAAGGTTAACTTAGAAATTACTTGGAATGGTCTACTCTACTAACTAAGAATCCAATGTATAATTTGATTTATTTTTGTATATATATTTATAATTGTTTGACTTTTGTGTACTAATATATATTTTTCAGTTGTATCTGCGTTGTTGAGTCGATCTTTAACTAGCTACTGTAATCGGATAGTTTATCAAACAATCGAATTAATGTAACCTATTAATTAACAAAAATATTCTATCAGACATCGACTATCAACTATCCACGTACTTGAATCAGATCATCAATCAAACAAATACACAAAGCAATATGTAAGTTTAAAAATTGTTGATTTTAAGAATAATATAAAGTGCAAAAGAGTTGATTTAATTAACAGAGTACATTATATTAATATACATTCCTAGTTTTCATGTAATGTAGTTTTTTTTTTTCTTTATTTGGTTGGATAAAACATCAAAATATGCCTAAGATTCCTTAACATCATTGAAACATGGAGTACAATTTTGCTCTTTCATAATCACCTTCTAGAGGAAAATAAAAATATAAATAAAAAACAAGATCAATGAACAATCATTTCTATGGATTTTTAATATACAACCAATTTCAACACAAAATAGTATTTTTTCTGGTAGTTCATAACTTGCCCAACAAGATTTGGATTTTAATGAATAATATATAAACAGTGAGATGAAAAAAATAAATAAATAAATAAATAACTCAAAATATCCAATTAATTGATAGAATCATTAATCGCCCCTATATATAATTCTCGAATGCGCTAAACCTACGTGGCTGCTTCTAGTGCTTCGGAATCTTACTTGGCGAAGAATCATGCTTCGTAATTAGGTTTGGACAAATAATATTGATATTAATAATTAATATTCTAGGTTCGGACATTCCATAAATATTATTTAGCTAACTTAGGTATTTTAATATAACTTTTACTAATATAACCCTTTAATTCTTTACAATTTTACATAGTGAGGCACTGAGTGACTAATATATCCCTGACTTTTAATTTGTTTCCATCAATTAGCTATTGAATTGTAAATGTATTTCAAAAGTTGATAACTTTTGTATTTCTTATCGGTTTTGCATATATAATATATCAAATAAATCATCTTTTGATCATCTTCGATTTGACATCCATATTGTATATATGAAATAAATAAATTATATTTATCTTTATAATAATAAAAAATAATAAATATTATTAAAATTCATTAGAAAAATAAAATTATTTCTCAATTCATATATTTATGTTTAATGTAGTTATATGTTGTAAGTTAAAAATTATTATAATACAACACAAGTAAGTCGCATAAATAAAAAGTGTCATACTAAATATATAATAGTATATATTTTTATAAAAGGTATTTAATTTTTCAACTACTTTTTTTCATTAATTTTAGATTTTAAGGAAAAAATTAGCAAGCACCCGTGTAATACACGGTGATGTTCATCATTAATTTCATGCATTATGACTTATGAGTGATATAGTGTGATGTTTGACCGTGTTTATTGTGGGATTGCGCACCATTTCGTTTGATTTATTAATCTATGATGGAGGTATAGTTGTCGTTGGTTTTGCAGGAAATATGCCCGAAAAAGCGTTAAAGATGGAATCGGGACGAAAAACGGCAAAAATAGGGTGCAGTCAGGGTCACACGACTCGTGTGGTATGTGACACGAGTCGTGTGGGGTGAGAAGAATCGAGCTTTTGTGTCCATTTGGTACGGCCTTCCCACACGAGTCGTGTGGCACATGACACGAGTCGTGTGGGCTCACACGACTCGTGTGAGGACTCGTGTGGTGTACTCGTGTGAGTCTGGGAGCGGGGCAGAAATTTGAAGAAAAGTCATACGACTCGTGTGGCTTGTGACACGACTCGTGTGACGCGCAGACAGTCCAGCGGGAATTAGGAAACCTACGCGATTTTGTCCCTTTTTCAAGCCATATTTACCCTACAGTATATAAGGAACATAAGGAACACGGTTCTGGGACTTTGGACACCATTGGAGGCCTAGGGAAAGCACGAAACACACGAGGGATTCGAGGAAGTCAAGATTGAAGATCCGGGAACTAACGGAAACAATAGTTCTTCTTTCTTTTCTCTTTTTCTTCTTCATTGAACTCATGGATTTATTTATTTTGAGTATTGAGAATATGTTTAGTAGCTAAATCTCTTTGAGATTCTAGGATTTGCGAGTACTCGGATTATTTTATGAAGTGATTTTGTTTATTCATTCCGGTCTATCTTTCGTTTATCGATTTCTTGTGCTTATTATTATTGTGTGAGTAGACGGCCGCTATGAATGCATACTTGTAATTGATTTGAGACCGAGAGGAGATAATTGTTTGCTAGAATTGGGAAATTCATAACGTAAGAGGCTAAACAGACCGAGAGGTTGATAGGATCTTGCGAGGGAACTAGAATCTTAGGAGCGTATGGGAGTTAGTTGTTCATCTTGAGACCGAGAGGAGATAGATAGCAATTAATATCTACGATTTGCTTGTTCGAGAGAAAGGTTGAAATCACTTTAGCGATTATCCCTACGATTGGTAGAATTAAATAAGGTTTGAATGAATAAGAAAACTTTGCTAGAATAATCCCGAGGAAAGCATAGCCTAGGATCTATTTTCTCATACTTGATTTATTTAGAATAAGCCTTCATTAGTGTTAGAATTTATTTTTGCATTCATTCATTAGTTTAGAATAAAAACTCCAATCAAACTTGCGTTTGTCTAGATAATATTTAGTCGTCTATATTTTGGTACTTAATTAGTTTTACAGCAGTCTCTGTGGAATACGACCTTGCTCGCCGCTTTCTGCAGCTACTCCGTACACTTGCGGGTAGTGAAAATATTTTGCGAACACACGGGTGTTGTACTAATTATTAATAATAATGGATGAGTACTTAATATTAAAGCTATTGAAAAGTGAAGGGTTAGCATCACTATGAGATAGATATGTGACACCCTATAATAGCTAGTCAATTTCTTCCAACTAAAGACTGAAATTGTATACATTTTAATTAATAATCCTTTATTTTATTTACTAAAGAGAATAATTATATATATGGTGTTTTCTGTTAATTAATCACATCCAATAAATTCAAAGTATAAATAAATAGTGAGACTTTTTAAATTATAAAAATAAAATAAAATATAGTTGGGTAATTAGAATGCTACTATTATTTTAGAAGTCTTTTTCAAGCAAGTTGCAACTAATTTTACCAATTTAATTGACAAATCCTTTTTTTTTTTCAAACACTATTAAACACACAATTGGTAGAATTAATTAGTTGTAAAAATAATAATTAGTTTAAAGGACCACTTTTTCTGTTTTCGGGCCGGTTGGTCCATCTGCCGCCTTTCGACCGTCGTAATCGTAATTTATAGTTGGATGCACACAGTCTAGTTAGTTACAAAATCAATTTAATATTATTGTTGCAAAATTTTAAATAGTACACTATAAATAAATGTTTTTATAGATATTCAATGTTAGATTGTGATTATTTGTTAAGTATATAAGTTAGCTTATAGTTTATTTGATTAGTTTACAAGTTTCTTGTATCCAAATAAATTTGATTTGGTAGGACGAACTTTTATAGTAAGCTCGATCTTATCTTATAAGCTTCATTGAGTATCTTTTCAAATAAGTTCATTAAAGTTTTTATTTCGACTAGCTTATCAGTTGAGTTTACTATGCACTTCTATCATATAAGCTACATTTTCAGCCATAAATCATAAATTCAGCTGTAAGTTCAAAATTCACTTAAAAACTATAAACTACCTTATGAGCCACGCTTATCTAATATTGCCTAAGTTTTCATAGTTGTGAGGTTGTACTTATAGTGAAAGAAATAACTTTTTTGCATCTAAGACAATGGTCTAGGTTAAATCTCACCGAATTCGGATAAGATCTTTTCAAGATGTATGTAGGTGTAGTATCAATCTTCTTTTCTTTTATTATACTAGTACCCAGTTCGATGCACGGGGTGCACAATTTTAAGGTCATTTATCCAACTTTATAATTATATAAATGAATAAAGAAAAATGTACGGGATATATATAGTACGTGATCTGTGCAAGACACGGGATATATTTGGGGATTATTATACTATAAGATGCAATATTCAATAAAAGTTTTATAATACACGAAAATAAATATAAATAATGTAAATATCTAAATACATACACGATATGTAGAATAAATAAGTCAAATTGTAAATCTGAAAGTATAATTTTAAAAAAAAAATCGAAAATATATTTCACTAAACATGTACAAAAATATCTAAATACATACACGAAAAAAAATATTAAAATATACGTTTCAAATTTCGAAATTAAAACAAAAATTCAAATAATTTGGCTTACAATTTTATTATGCGGAACCAACTCGAGATATGATTTGTATGTGTTGCCCCGATCTTGGAAAAACATTTTCGCAATTCGAACTTTGAGCATAGGTCTATTAGACATATTGACTTGTTTGATTAACCCAAATCCTTCATTCATTGTTTTGAATAAAAGACTGATTGGGGATATTTTTTGTTCGCAGGAGGTTGACAGTGAGGAAGATGGTGACTCAATATTTTGAGATTTGTAATTTATAATGGGTAGAGTAAATATATATATTGTTGTTAATATTTTTATTAGAAATATGAATATACAAAAATCGGTTTGAACAAAATCAGAACATATTTCCATACAATTAGATAATAAATAAAGCATTTTTTATTTTAGTAAAGATTTTACGTACATTTTATTTTACTTATCGGATGTTATGGGGTTTTTTTTTTGTTAAACCAATTTTATGGGATATAATACAAATACAATTAGAGAATTGAACAAAATCGGAACAGATTTCCATACAATTAGATAATAAGAAATAATTAGATAAATAAAAGAAAGAATTAGATAAGAAATTTTGAATCTACCTATTTTTTAGTATAGATAGACTTTACGTACAAATTTTGACTTCGCCGATTTTATGAGATTTGTTTTGACAAAATCAATGTTAATATAGAATAAGAAAAATAAATAAAGCTTTTTTTTTATTTTAGTATAGATTTTACTTCTTTTTTTTACTTATAAGATGTTATGATTTCTTAAACTGATTTTATGAGATATAAGACAACTAAATAAAATAATTAAATAAAATTCTAGATAGAAATAGGAATGCTTTAATTATGTTGACTTTTCAAATTTACTAAATTTGATAAATATGATACTTTATCATATAAGTATAGATGTAGATCTCATTTCTTTAAGGGGTCTTAATTATTCAAAAATCTACGCGCCTCTTAGGTTCATCATCTCGACTCATTCCATTCGCTATGTTAGCTCGAGCATATGATAAAGTCACCTGAGAACCATAGCTCGAGCTAAGCTAAATCCGAAGGACCGTTAACCTCAGATTCGTGCAGTCTCTATCACAATGTATCGTATGCTAACCGAGCTATCAATTGTCTTGACTTCTCAACCCGAACTATCTCCCAAGACGGACCTAGTGGCTATATCAAATTGAAGATAATTGAAAAAACGGATTCCAAATTCATGGGACCAATTCATAGCGTGGCTCTCAAGAGAACCATAATTAACAAGCTTTTCCGGCCAATGTCAAATTCACGTGCAAGTTAATTCTACTTTACATACTAGACGAGCAATTCGACTTATTACATCAAAACACAGTAACGATCAAAAGCATCCTTTCACCTGTAGCTTCTGTATTATGGCAGGCTCTAGGCCCTTGCTCAAAGCATGATCTGACACAAGAGATGCTCGCAAAATGTTCAAAGCCTGCGTCGAAAAAATTGGGCCACATAATACATAGATCAATTATCAACTTTCAAATTAAAAGATGCATACACTTCAAAGTAATTATAACAAATACTGAAAGCAGAGGACTTTTGGGCCTGTAAAAAGCCAAAAATGCAGGACAAAAGTGAAAGATTGTTACGTAACCAGTTCCATTCGAGAAAATTGGGCCACATAATATTGATCAATTATCAACCTTCAAATTAAAGGAGCATAAATATGCTTAGAAATAACCAAAACAAAAATCGAAAGCAGAGAAGTTTGTGGCCTGTAAAAACCAACGAAAAATGCAGAACAAAAACGAAAGATCGTTACCAGTTCCAGTCCGATGTCCAGCTCCACTTCATGCACATCCCATGCACCGACTTGCATCCAAACGAGAGCCGCATCGACCGAGACCATACGCTCCACGGTCAAATCGCTCGTCACCACAAACTTGTCATGCTGCCTCAGATAACTCCCCTCCCCTTTTGGGTCCTTAAAACGCATCCAAGAACCTTTCTCTATCTCCTTGTTGGGGCCCACGGTAAAAGACTCGACAAAATAAATATTGGGTGCCGTTCGTTCTTCCAGGGGCAAGATTTGATTCTTGGACAGATAGCCTGGAGGAAGCTCGGGTTTGATTAGCCGGTTTTTTAACTTTAGGTACTTTTCATCGACAGTCTCGGCTATGCTCCTGTACAAATTGTCGATGTTTTTTAGCAATGTGTTGCCCTCCAAGAGGAAACAGGCCCTCCCCAAGGGGATGGTTAGCAAACTAAGGATGAAATCCACGAAATCATCCCCTGCATGAACAAACAGTAGTTCGTTATTGGATTTGCGTAAGACAGCTTTAACTTTCATGGTTTTGGAGTTGGCCGGCGAGTTTACTGAGGCCAGAAGCGGTAAATTTACGGGTAAAGCTGAGTCTGAGCAACATTGCTGGACAAAGAGGTCGGTTAGTGGAGTACGGGAGAGTAGAGATCCCCTGAGCAACTCCATAATCTGAAGATCCAAGAAAAGAAGCAGAGACGAGTGAGAGGCCAAATGTTATTACCAAGTTCGGAAAACATTCAAAAACAAATTTCGCGCAAAAACACACATAAAGCTGCACTTGTTCAGCACATCTATGTAAATTGTGACTTTTGAAGAACCATGGCAGAATTATGGCCATTCATCTATTCAAAATATATGTTTACAGCTTGGAAGGAATATGCCAAGGTTAGCAGCAGCAACTCGATCAAGCATTTTATCGAATGTTGACATAAAATTGATAACGAGTCAAAATTTATAAAAGAAGAAAAAAAAATTAAATGCAAGTATTACCAAATGCTTAGATAATAACAGGATGCCATAATACGTAAATCATACAAGATCAAAGAAAATCCCGTTTATCATATCATGCCCCTCCTGTGTGACATCCAAAAACAAAGGACGGCTCTCTTTCTCAACAACAAACAACAACAACAACATACCCAGTATATTCCCAACTGGTTGGGGTCTGGGGGATCAGTTGTACGCAGACCTTACCCTTGTAATTATACAAGGAGGCTGTTTCCGTAGCGACCCAAGGTGCATTGCGTCGTTTGATATATTTTTTTTCTAGAAACTTAGAAATTTCACTAATAAAAGAAGCACTAGAATTTAATTGAGTCATTTTGATCTAGTCCATTATTAGCACTATGTCAGGAGAATTGTCAACAATGACTCTTCCACCTCCTTTGCAATGGACAAAATGGCTCTCTTTCTCGACTCATTAAAAAAATCCCAAAATTGTATCTTCTTCGGCAGACCGTCCACAAAGAATACCTATAAAGGAAATGAGAAAACGATGCAGGAGGGAACTAATGTCATTTAAAAACCCAAAATGGGTAAAATTTTGGTCGAAAAGCAGCTAGGATGGATGAATGTAGCTCAATAAGATGAGAGCAATCTTTCTATTTAAAGTAACAATCTTTCTACAAAGCAAAAGAGTAAAGTAAAAGCCAAGTGCAGTAAAACGAGTAACAAAGCAAGACTTTCGCTAGAAGACCAGATGCAACACTCACAGCATCGTACCCAAGGCTCATAGTCGACATCTTGGCTCCTTTCCCGACAGTCACACCGAGATCGACCAGAGTTTCCAAGAAGCGCCCGGGCACAAGAGGCGCCACCTTGAGATCGTCGGTTATCAAGAACACCGTGCCCTTCTCGACAAAAACCCCCCCACGGTCACCTTGTGATTGTCGGTTATCAAGAATCCCGGGCTCCAATGGGCCCATCGACTTGTCCAGAGGCCCACCGCAATCGCAAGTTCCCATGCTGTGGTATAAGGTCACAATCGGGGACCTCTCACGCCTGCAGCTGTGGGCCCCACACCTGAAGCCAGTCATTGAACCGGATTCATCCACGTTGAGCATTATCCTGCTACACTCGGCCTTGAGCGGGTTCCTTGCGTCGAGCAGCATTTGCTTACCGCCAGCTGTCCAGAAGAGGGCGTTGTCCAACCTGGACAGGCTGTAGTATAGTGTTGTTAGGCTTCCCAGTTGGGGCTCGTCATAGCGCCTCAGCGTCCTGACGATCGTGCCCAACGGTATTGTCAAGAAGCTCAGCAGGAGATCAGCAAAGTCACTGTCGGCCTCAGCAAACAGCACCTTCGTTCGCTGCCGGTTGACCATGACTTTCAGCTGGAACATGTCTTCAGGACCAGTGCTTGAGCTCGTGGTCGACATTTTTTTTCTTGAAATGGGTCTAGTGAGTCTTTGAAAATTTTATCTGAAATATATATATCAAAGAAAATTTGGAAATGATGCATTTATTTAATCTGTTCCTAAATTGCATGTGACTGATATTGATAATTTATAATGGGACTTACAAAATTGAGTCCATCAGTTCAAATTAAAACAAATGGAAAACAAATGGATTGATTAAAATTTGAACAGTTGAGCTAGTTTAAATGAACCCAGTTTTGATTCCAAAAACAAAAATATTCATGATTTTCGGACCACATTTCCCATTTCTGCCAACTACTACTGCTTGCTCTCAATCATAAAGAAATTTTGTGTTAATATACATAGAAATGGCTCTGTTAGGTTTTGCCCTTACTTATGAACTTCTTCTTCAGCTTCTCGGCATCCCGTCGGGTGATCGGGCCGTCGACGGCGATGAGGCGGTTTACATCACGAGTGGACACGTGGGCGTCGTTGATTGGGTGATCCAAGCGAAGTGTTGTGTCTGAAGGGATGGCTTGCAGCTTCTCTTTATCTACTTTCCCGTCGTCTTCTTCCTCTTCGTCGAGGTAGTTGGGAGGATTTGCCGGCGGCAGTGGTGCGCCGAACTGATTTTAGGGTTTCCTTTCCTAGTGGAGGGAATGAAGAAATTTTACAGAGATGAGATTAGTTGGGGCATTGGGAAAAGAGCATGTAGAGGGTGGAATGATGTGAATTTGATTGGTTTTTTTATTATTTTTTTTTTAATTAGAGTTAATTTGAAAATTGTGATATGGTTAGTTGATAGTTTTATATAAAAATAATATTTAAAATAAAATAATTAAATTTGATTTGATGTAAAAATATGAGAAAAATTGATTGAGTTGATTGGTATATTTTGTTAGGAGTGAATGATCATTTCAATGGAAATCGCAATACCCGTGTATATGTGATTAGTCATTCTATAAGAATCGATTTTTTAAAAAATAAAACTAACAAATAATAATAACTAATAAATGTATAATACATATTATACTAACAAGATTGAATTATATTAAATAGAATCATTTTAAAAAAATAAATTTCTAATAAAAAAAATAAAAAAATATTTTTACTTATTAGTCATATTATAATTAGATGTATTAAATACTTATATGGAAATAATACTCACCAAAAATGCATTTATAAATAGTTTAGAAAAATCTTATTTTATACACATAAACTTTGTTTGGTAGGACGAGCTTTTTTAAAAAGTTTGAACTTATTTGATAAACATCTCTGAGTAGCTTTTCAAATATGCTCGTTGAAATTTTTATTTCAACTATCTTATTAACTAATTTTACCAAACACTTTTATCATATAAGTTATCTTTTCAGCTATAAGTCATAAGCTATAAACTCAAAAATTATTGATAAGATCTAGTTTATCAGCTACCAGCTAACTTATCAGCTAGTTATACCAAACATAGTCTTATTTTAGAGATTCATTCTTAGATATTTTAGAGAGATAAATACTCTATATTTGCTCCAAAATCCTCTCGTCTTCTTCTCTAACAATTGGGAATGACCACATTTGATGAGCCAAAAGTTACTAATTTTAATTTTTAAACTGTAAAAGTTAGTATAGATGTAAATAAAAAAAAAATGTAAATTTAAATAAAATGAGGTTTAAAAATAAATGTGTAATTTCCTATTTTTGTTTGACTTCAAATTTTCTTTTCCACCTTTGACAATTTTGTCTTTATAAAATAGGTCCGGATTACCATAAATATCATATTTATGATTATTTTATATGTATTAATTGTATTTTAATATCATTTTCTATTATAACCATTGAATTGTAAATGTATTTTAAAAAATTGATAACTTTGTATTTCTTATCGGTTTTACATATACAATATATCAAATTAATCATCTTTTAATGGGTTTTGACTTGACATCCATATTGTATGTATAAATTCAAAAATTATATTTATCTTTATAATAATAATAAAATTATTTATTAATATTAATTAGAAAAATAAAATTATTTCTTAATAAATATATTTATGTTTAAAGTATTTATACTAGTACAACGCCCGTGTATTACACGGGTGCTTGCTAATTTTTTTCTTAAAATTTAAAATTAATGAGAAAAAGTAGTTGAAATTTTAAATACCTTTTATAAATATATATATATATTATTATATATTTAGTAGGACACTTTTTATTTGTGTGACTTACATGTGTTATATTATAATAATTTTTTAACTTACAGCATATAACTATATTAAACATGATATATGAATTGAGAAAAATAATTTTATATTTCTAATGAATTTTAATAAATATTATTATTTTTATTATTATAAAGATAAATATATTTATTTATTTCATATATACAATATGGATGTCAAATCGAAAATCATCAAAAGATGATTAATTTGATACATTATATATGCAAAACCGATAAGAATTATAAAAGTTATCAACTTTTAAAATACATTTACAATTCAATAGCTAATTGAAGGAAACAAATCAAAAGTCAGAGATATATTTAGTCACTTAGTGTCTCACTATGTAAAATTACAAAGAATTAAAGGGTTATATTAGTACAAGTGATATTAAAATACTTAAGTTAGCTATAAAATATTTATGGAATGTTCGAACCTAGATTATTAATTATTAATATATCAATATTATTTGTCCAAACCTAATTACGAATCATGATTCTTCGCCAAATAGGATTCCGAAGCACCAGAAACAGCCATGTAGGCTCAACACATTCGGGAATTATATATAGGGAATGTTATTAAGTTACAAAAATTATTATAATATAACACATGTAAGTCGTACGAGTAATAAGTGTCATTCTATATAATAATATATATTTTTTTATAAAAAGTATTTAAATTTTAAAGCAATTTTATTCATTAATTTTAAAATTTAAGTAAAAAAAATTCAACAAGCACCCGTGTAATACACGAGTGTCGTACTAATATTATAATATTTTTCTAATGTATTATAACTTCATGATAGGTCGAATAATGTGCATGTTTTTACATATCTATAGGGTATTTTTATATACAAATTATTCGCACGTTTATAATTTTCGACTTATTTATTTCTTGGATGTATTATTTATTTTGATATTTTTGTAATTTGTTTCATGATATTGGAGTATGTCATGGACGACAGTGATACCAAACGATAATTTGAGTATGCCATTATTTGGTGCCCTGTACCTGGTCTAATGTAGGCTACATAATATGAGTCCAAGATTAATGGAATTAAAAGCCCAAATATTGGTTTTGATGACAAATAAAAGTAGAAAAAGAGGATGGATCATAAAGCCACCCAAAACGCAGCCCAAAGTGAAAGTTGAAGTGAGTTTATTTAAAAAGGAAGATCATAAAGAGAAAAAGATTTAATTGAAATGGGCAAAAAGTTGAAGTAACTTTTGGGGAGAATAAATAATAAAAGAAAAGCGGAGACTCCACTACGCGGAGAGAAAAAGATTTTGCCGAGGGATAACGAAGAATAAAAGCCGCTCAGAGAAAACGAGAAGAAAGCACACGGATCAAAACCGCACCCGCACATGAGTGAGATCTTTATTTACTCTCTATCTGGTACATATTTCTATTAATATGCTAGATTAGTTTTTTTATCCAGTTTTAAGAGATATTTGAACTCAAACTTTAATTTGTTTATGTATTGAATAATTTATATTTATCGTTGATTTATTTAGACATCGCATTCTTTTTTGTTTGGATGGTTCGATCGGCTCGTTCGAGTCGGTCGGCTCGGACGGCTCGTTCAAGTCGGGTCTCGGCAAAATAGACCTAATCAATACAAAAAAGACAAGAAAAGTACGACAAAATACAAAAACACACAACAAACGCAAAAGCACACGAAATACAATAAAATGGATCGGTCGACCCTAAAACAAACCTAAGGTACATAAAACACACAAAAATAAACAGGTAACGGGAACATAAGTTAAATTATCCGAATTTTTGCGTTCATTGCTTAGACTAATCTATTTTCATAGAGATTAATGTTGCTCGTGAATTAAATATAGAGAGCTTATTCTAGGTTGTCAACTAGTTAGGTTTAGTCGAAGAGCTTATTTCGATTAAATATTCGGTAAAATAAATTTCGGTTAACAGAGCTTGTTGTTAGCTAGGGTTGGTAATTCACCAGCAATTTAAAGAAACGTCGAAATTAATTAACGGTAGATTTAAATTGGGTGAGAACTGAACCGAAAACTTGACTTCTCTCATTGTATTTGATTTTTTTTTTTTATCAATTCAATCCCCCCTCTTGCTGCTTTCTTAGTTTTAGTTCGATTAATACGAAATTGTCACGATTTTATTTCTGCTCCTCGTGTGATCGACCATTACTCGCCGCTACTACTAGTTAGTTAGTAGATGCTAGTTAAGGAATTAACTTTATAAATTTAAATTAGTTGCGTCACGACGCGCGGTCACTCATTTGAAAAAAAAAAAAATTAATAATATTCCAAAGAAAATATTATGTTGGAATTCATTTTTTTTCTGGGAGGTTCACTATATTTGATTTCAATTACAACGGTATTTCCAATAAATCGAATTATCATTTAAAAAATGATATCACATAAATAAATCTCTTTATATATTAGTGTTTGAACTTAATTATTGTCAACTTTTTGGTGTCTTGTGATTTTATATATATTTCAATTTCTAAAGATTTGGATTACTTTATACAAGTTTTTAACTTTTATCCATTCTCATTGTAACTTTTAAAATCACATAACACTACACTAACTAAAATTATAAATATTTTAAAATTTTAATATTTTTTTAATTTTATTATTATTTTCATATATGATGTATCAAAACAATCATATTTAGCGATTTTCTACATATAACATAAAATAAAAATTAATTGATTAATTAATTAGTCCTTATTGCAAAAATAATAAATAACCATAAAATAATTGAACAAATTCATCTATCAAGTCTCATATATAACACGAGTTAAAAAAAATAAATAAATAAAAAAAAA